TAATTTTTTATTCGTTTGCTCATTCACACAATCGCTCTCGCAATCACTCACGTAACTCACTCAGTTATTTATCCACACACGCACTCAGATATACTTTTCAATTCGCTCACTCACTCACCCACCCACTCACTCACTCACTCACTCATTCACTCGCCTTCTCGTTCAATTATATAGCCACACATGCACTCAGCTATATACTTATAAATCCGCTCACTTACTCACTCACTCACTCACTCACTCACACACTCACTCACTCACTCACTCACTCACTCATTTGTTTATCCACACATGCACCCATTTATATACTTTGAAAGTCGTTCACTCACTCACTCACTCACTCACTCTTTTAACCTCTCGTTCATTCACTCACTCTCTCACTCATTAACTCACTCACTCATTAACTCACTCACTCATTCACTCACTCATTCACTCACTCACTCATTCACCCACTTACCCACTAATTCATTCATTCACTCACTCACTCACTCACTCACTCACTCACTCACTCACACACACACTTACCCACTAATTCATTCACTCACTCACTCACTCTCTCTCTCTCTCTCTCTCTCTCTCTCTCTCTCTCTCTCTCTCTCTCTCTCTTAAGCACTAATCCATCCACACAATCGATCGGGTACTTACTTTTCTCGTGTTCGCATGCTAATGATCCAGGGGGGAAAAAACCTGCGTAACTGTCTGATAATTTGAAAAAATAGCGTACTCTCCCAACCACCAATGTCGTTATCAACGTGATAGTACTGATAGCATGATAGCTGTATGAACTAATCGAATAATAATGACAACGAGGTCCGTAGTTAACGCAACGGTTTGCAAGGACAAACGGCGTAAAAAGACGTAGTACGAATAGAAGAGGTCATGGCCAATGTTCTTAGCACGTGGTCAAGTCATTGATCTGTGGCATAGGCGTCTGTGGTGTAGTGGTGAAGCGATTTTGGGGGGGGGGGAAGTGTTTTACGGCGCTTCCAACTGCATAAGGTCATATGAGCGCGCGGGACACATTAAACTTTTTTAGTTTGTAGGAAATTTTGAATTTTGCCCGGGTGGTGGCCGAGACCTACTCTTATTGATTTTAGACCACCAAGGGATCTTTAACGTGCGCAACTCGCACTCGAGCCCTCCGAGATTTTTCGCTCTTGTCCGAGAAGGCTGGGTGTAGATCTTTCCTACCAGAAGGTCAGGGGTGTGGCCGAAAGACAGCCGTAAGAAGGAGCCAAGGAGTAGCAGTAGAAAGGCTGCAGAAAGAGTCAGGAGCCCAGAGGAGGGGACAGAGGGAATGAAGGGGTGCGTGCTGAAAGTAAAGACGAAAGCAGACGACAGAACATTGCTACAGAGCAGGAAAGGAGGTGAAAGGAGACAATTTTAGAGAAGAAAATTTGTCGGTTGCTTCCCAGATTCGAACACGGGACCTTTGAATGAGAGGCCAACACCTTAACCTCTAGGTGAAACGATTCGTTAATGAACGCAGGAGACCATAGTTCGATTCCCGATTGGGGTGGGGGGTGGGGGGTGTTA